GAACAGGCGCATCACGAATTTATATTGTCTGCCGATGAGCTCGCGGTTCTTCTGACGGTGTTATGTATCCAAATTCCTCAATGGCTTAGATGGACAAAGCTGTGCAAGGTCCTAGACACGTATCAGCACATCCCTGGGAGTACTAATCATAGTTTCCGGGATCCCTCCATGACACCCCAGGAACACCACGGTGGGCCCTAGAAGCAAATGTACCCCAAGAGTCAAGGAGTTTGACTCGTAATCTGCTTTTGCTGTTTACCAGCGCTTCCGCCGCTGTCTGCACTCATGCAGTTTGGTTTTGTCCGCATTGAATTGTTCCTCATGATCGAGGGCTAGGCAGGAGGCTCAGGCAAAACGTCACTGAGGACCTGCTGTACGCAGATGTCTTTGACATTCAACACTGCGACGTGTTGAGCATTCAACGAGACCGGCTAAGGAACCAGCTTAACGTGCATCTCAGAAGGTCCAACAGTATTCGATTGCAACGATGAGTTTAATGATACTCGAATGCTGCTAGTGTAGCTCAACGTTGGAGATCATTTTTGTAACTTTGTACCCGATATAAACTGTTTGCAACATCACCATGAACCCGCAGTGAGAAAGCTCCGCTGCATTCAGGATTAAGCCCTTAACGAGATGGAGTATATCCTCATATGTTAGTTGTTGGCCCATGACACTGAGTCATAGACTGAAGGCGCTGGTCACCGTTCACCAGTTTCAACGCTCATACCCACCGACAATGGCCGTCCACGTATTGGAATTTGGACCGGTGTGTTTGGCAAAGTATTGGACTGATCGTTGAGTCCGCGTTGAAACTTGAACAGAAAGAATAGGTAAACGTCGAAGACTAAGCATCTTATTGATGATGGTTGAACAGTCACCTCAAGGTCCTAATATGGAACCCCGTTGAATGCATGTTCACCAGTCAACTTTTTTCTGAATGCTGCAGTCTCCACAGACTCAACATCATTAGTTCAATATAAGCATAATTCTCATGGCGACCAACTAAAATTGACATTTCAACTATGGCTCGAAGTTGAAGCATTTTTCCAGCGGCCCTCAGATTTGAGCAGCTGCACTGACAATTATATTTCGACGGGTGCCACTCCAAATAGCAGACACGCTGGTGCCAAACAAAGCACATGACAAGACAGGCCGACAAGTCTATAAATACCCCCTACTACGCATAGTCCTTTTTGCTCTTCCAGCTCACTGCGTGACTCTTCCAAGCCTGACGAAGCTTTTTCATTTGGAGCCAGAAGCTCGGCCTCTACCAAAGGGACTGGACTAGAAAGTTCCAGACACTATCGGCGGTCCCCTAATAAGTTCTTCCCTTTTAATCAACCTCTGGTTCTTCTATTGGACTGACAAAGGCATAGCACGTCGTTGATTCATGTGTCACGTAGTGCTTGTGACATCCCGTGCGAGGTACTCTATCCTCCTTCTCTTGACTGTCGGCCCCGTTCAAGTCTTGCGTTGTCCCGCGACTGTTCAAACTCAATAGCAAGACATCCGGCCCCCCCCCCATGATAATACTGATCACAGGGGATCTCCTGGATGCCCAATCGATTTGAACCTTCGCTTGAGACCTGCCCTCATTTTCGGTGCAAAACCGGGACCAGCCATGGCGCAGGTATGTGCATAGTTCCTTGATGCGAACCTTGAGGAGTCTGGGCCTAGGATTGCGTGTACATGGCCCGACAGACAAGTATGATGTGCGTTGGTCTGTCTGTTGTTGAGGTCATCAAGGCAAGTCATGGATCACTACTCCAAAGAACTAGCTAACCACCGGCAGTGAGTCATGACAGCGAGCCTCAATACGACACCCCAAGCGTTTGATCGCCACCGTGAAAGCTCGTGTCAAAACCGAAACCTTCAACATATTCTTGGGTGCCTGACCACCCATGAACCTTGCAACCAGTTGAACGTGAGAATGTGGACGGAGATCGCCATGATTTATGAACTGTTTGAAACCATTCAAAACCCCATATGAAAGCCTACTACATGTAAACTGACTGGCTGTAATTAGGGAAATCGAGAAAGGAATGTGGTTGTCTTCAAATCAGGGGCGCGGTTATCCGCCACAAAATTTGTCGTGAGTTGCACCTACTTGGCACCAGCGCGGACCAATTGGTGGATCCACTAGCGGGTTCCAAGCCTCCCACAAACAACAACAATGTGCCGATAAACCCTTCGGTGAGCAATTTCAAACCATCGATCGTTTTTCGTATCGGCCGCAAGAGAAGGTGCCCGCGCCCTAGCGACGACATCATCACCACTGCACATCACAACCATGCCCTTCTAGCCACTGGAGACAACAGAGGGCAGCCCACCACCAACAAGCTGCCACGCTCATCAACAACACCAAGCAACCCGAGTCATTGAATCCATGAAAGCACACCCGCTGGGGGACAACGCGATTACTACGCCTGAAAGCGGTCAAAGATGAAGTGAAAAGGAAGTGCGAATCCTTTGGCCGCAGATTGGCAGACTGGCTACAGCTTCTCCCCTGTGATCATGGGCCATCGTTGTACCCAGCTCAGCGAACTTCGGTCCTACAATGAATCACCAGTGATTCGACAGAGACCTCAACTGCATTCGAATTAGCTCCCCACCTCCTTCGTCGATCCCCATAACAATGAAGACAGCGATGAAAATGCTTTCAGCCGGCACCTCCCTTGCTACAGCAAATACGCACCTCCGAACCGGTCATCGAACGCGACCGCTACGCAGGGCGTACAGGTGGCCCCCATTGGCACCACAAAGACCCCAGTATGCATCTGGTTCGAATACTCAGGTCGGCTGAACCCGCATCAACACGAGTTGTATCACGACTTAGGTATCAACACAAAAACGGTCAAACCACATTTTGGCATCGTCATTCACCGTACCCGAAGACCTCTGGTCTGGATGTTCAGGCGCGACCCATCGAGAAGATCATCGACGCGAACGAACGACCTGAATGGGCTTCCGGATCTGAATTAGGGCATGGTTGAGGATAAAATACCCAGGAATTCGGGGTTTGGACAGCTGGTTCGATTCGGCCGAGGCAACATGGATCACGATAACGGCATTTTTAGGTCAGAAAGGGGTGCATTGGGAGTTTGAGTACTGCAATAGAGCGGAAGGCGTGCTTTTGCTCTCAATGGTTCGGCCACCTGGCCTAATCATGCAAGAACTACCGCGATGTGGACACTGCGCTGGCCAACAAGAACGTTGACGATGCCTGCCAGGCATGGGAGTACGATGTCTGAACTGCAACAAGGAGCATCCTGCTATTGATCGGTGTCGCTCATCTCCCGCAACGCGACCCTCCTACGACGTTAGAGACAAGCCCACGAACGCTTACGGTTCAACATGACGAGCCAAAGGGCGGAATAGAGGGAGGCCCTCGTCAATGATCACCCAATGCCGAAAAAACGTGTTGTTCATCCATGGGCCGTCTATCCACAGAGTTTCGTATATATGTCAACCACAGCATCTGGTGGCTGTACTGACCGACGGTCGAAAGCGACTCGGCCGCCTTTCGCGACCTAGTCTACATCAACCGAAGGGTCTCAACATCTTCCCACCCATGGGCCCCCTGCAACCATCCGGACCCCACGGTAATCAAAATCTGGGCGGCCTACTCTCGGATCCTTCCCAATATGGGTCTACTCCCCGCCCATGCCATGCACACGCTCGAAGCGGCGTCGGCAAAAACAGGTGAGTCGTACAACGCCTACTTGGACCACTTTTTGATGATCTGTCACTGACCTTTCCAGTCTGCCTTGGGCTAACTCCAGGTGGGGCATTCAAGCTTTATCGTGAGCAGATAGATGGTTAGCACCCGCTCCCACAATCCCCAGACAGATTGGCTAATTCCCTCATGCCAACACGAAGAAGGGTCTCAAAATGACGACAAGCCCGCTTCGACCATATTACAAGTGTTCTACATATGTGATGGGCTGGTGTATTCTCATGTCTCTGCGACAGGTGAAGCTGAGTTACACGCTCTTTTCCAAGCACGCCACCGTAGCGGTTCCTCTCCGTTCAAATTCGGGACTGGCGATGGATCTCTGAATGAGCTGTGATTTGGTTAGTGCTACTCAGGCCCGGATCTGAAAGAGTATTGCACGCAAGTCGACAGATGCCACTAGGAGAACTAAGAAAGAAAGGTGAGAGTCTCCTAATCGGATGCCTTTGTTGATATTGTCTGCCAAGTGGGTTTCGAGCATCCCACCAACACCGAAGCAACAAAAATTATTTTCAGTGAGCTTTGAACCATCGGTTGTTTCATGCATCGTTCGCAAGTGAAAGAGGCCGCAGCATGGAGATAAAATCATTACCACTGCACGTTGGGAATCCTGTCTCTGCTTCGAGGAGACAACGAGGGAATTGTGGCAGCGTATCAATGATATCAAACCCGCCGTGATCGAATGCACAAAATTACACAACCTGGAAATCAAATGTGCCAATATGCCTTCAAAGCAATCAAGTGTGAGCGCTTCGGGCAGAGATCGAAGGATGTGCTTTTGTCACCCACTGCGATGAGATAATGGCCGACGTGTCTCCCAACGCTCCTTCATCGATCCCAATGGGTGATGGGAGTGAATACAGCGACGAAACCCCAAAATACTTTCGGCATGTAGCTGCAGCCAAATAACTCGGCTCTCTAGGCACATCCAAATCGGGCTGATAAAGCAACCCAATCGGGTTAGCGTGACTGAACCAGCCCCTCATCCATTGTTTCTCCCCCCGCTGGTCCACGAGAGGAATCGCTGATACTGCGCCATGCAGGGGCCAAAACCACCCTCTTATCTCACGGGGCGGTTTTGCCCTTGATATTTGACCTTCTTTTCTCTCCAACTTTTCTATTCTCTTCGGATCTGCCCCTACCATCCATCTCCCGCGTCTCTCCCCCATTATCCAGTTGGTCGGCATTGGCCTCGCTTGCTTTCTCAAGTTTCCGGCCGCTCGCACAACAAGTCGCTGTGCCTCACAGTTCATTCCAATTCAAGATGACGACAACAGACATGCGTGTCGGTAACAAGTACCGTATCGGGCGCAAGATCGGCGGCGGCAGCTTTGGTGACATCTACCTAGGCACCCACATCATCTCGGGTGAGGAGATCGCTATCAAGCTCGAGAGCGTCAAGGCCAAGTACCCTCAGCTAGCATACGAGGCCTATGTCTACAAGACTCTTGCCGGAGGTGTCGGCATCCCCTTTGTCCGCTGGTTCGGTACCGAATGTGACTACAATGCCATGGTGATGGACCTCCTTGGTCCTAGTCTGGAGGAACTGTTCAACTTTTGCAACCGCAGGTTCTCGCTCAAGACCGTCCTGCTCCTCGTCGACCAGCTCATCTCCCGCATTGAGTATATCCATGCCAAATCGTTCATTCACCGTGACATCAAGCCCGACAATTTCTTGATGGGTATCGGCAAGTGTTGCAACCAGGTCAATGTGATCGATTTCGGACTGGCCAAGAGGTACCTTGGCCCCAGGACTCACTCTCACATTCTCTACCGTGAGAACAAGAAGCTTGCGGGTACTGCCCGCTACGCGAGTATCAACACACACCTTGGTATTGAGCAGTCACGCCGCGACGATATGGAGTCTCTCGGCTACGTGATGCTCTACTTTTGCCGTGGCTCTCTGACCTGGCAGAACCTGAAGGCTGCTACCAAGAAGCAGAAGCACGATCTCATTATGCAGAAGAAGATGACCACTTCAATTGAAGTGCTCTGCCGTGGTTTCCCCACCGAGTTCGCCGTGTATCTGAACTACTCTCGCTCGCTCCGGTTCTACGACAAGCCTGACTACACGTACCTTCGCAAGATGTTCCGCGACCTCTTCGTCCGCGAGTCCTTCCGGTGTGACGACGTCTTTGACTGGACCGTAGACAAGTATCGGAAGCACGCCGCTTTGATTGTCGACGCGTCCAAGGACAATGGTGACGAGCAGGCACACCTCCAGGCTACGGCTCGCGACCCTACGATGGCCAGTGCCATCGTCAAGCCTGATGAGATCTCGAGCTAGCACCACAATGTTTTTGACTACCGCATGCTTTACAACACCCCGGGCACCAACCGTGTCGTGGGAGACAGTGACAAGGGCTTTCAATGTTAGGCTGCGTTCTGCCACAGAGTAAGCTACTTTAGGTGCCTAAGCGGCTGCTAGTAGCTGCTGGAATCATCACGATGGAATCTGGGCTCAAGGGAGTAATTGTATATCACCTGCCGCGAAACTGGAGATGGGGTTTTTCGGTTCCATTCCTTCGACTCTGCTGCGTGCCCAGATCCTTGTTCACCTAGGAACCTTCAAGACCCCATAGTTCATTGCCGTCGACGCAATATCCTGTTCTTAGTCTTCTCGGAGTTCTCATCCTCCACGTCGGTCTCCATTCATTCGATCCAGTTTCGACTTCAGCCGTTTCAATTCGTCATTGTTCTTCGCCAGCCCACCCTCTCAATCTTCTATGAACGTATTGTCATGTTAATTGAGTCATCGCGGCGAGTTTACCAGAATATTTGATGACGTTTTCTTCTCGGACTTCTTGTACCCGTTCTTATACGGAAACTGCTCATTCAGTCTCAAAGCTATTGATCTGGTGGCTTACTCTAATGTCGTCACATACTTCGAATTGCCCACCTGCCTTCTCTCCAGATGGAGGGAACCGTCGGGGTGGTCAAGAGCCGGCCTTGAATCTTCCTCGCTCGGGGTTCCTGAATCGCTAACGCCACCGCGTTCTGAGTCTCTTCGGCATTCATTAAGCTCTCGTGCACTGTGCCATGCTTCCTCACATTCAGTTGGATTACTCAAATGGTTCTATTCACGACGTGATGGATAGAGCTTCCGACAGCTTTTGCTGTACGATTCATGAGGGCCTCCGCATGAAATGCACTTTGGAACCGTTTGGTCAAAGCTACTGTGGCGGTGGCCCTCCGCTGTGCATCTTGCACACTTCTGGACGTTCTTGCACTGGATTGCCTTATGTCCAGTCTCCTGGCAGTTGTAACATTGCGTCGGCCGGGGTCGGTATTCGAAGGTGCTGGCCACGCCGCATTCTCCTCCAGCGTGAAAGAACCCGTCGGCCAAGAGCCTCCGCGTGTCAGTGCTTTTGGTTAGGTAAACAACCATGGACCCATAGGCGTTAGACCGTTATAGCTTCGGCTCGAATCTCACCCTTCTCGTCCAGTACTGCGGCCTTGTTCACACTGTCCGCTTTGATCGCGTAAAGCTCGTCACTAAGTACCCGGGCTCCCGCGCCGATTTTGGCCTCCGCTACTTTTTTGACCAGCTGGTGTTCGGCTTCAACCCCGGCAGGAAATTCTGGTCGGGTTTGTGTTTTTCGGATCTAGCATGACGGCGCGATAGCGCCAATGCATGTGGTTTCGCATGCTCGGCCCAAGCGGCCCAGACTACCATGTTGTGCTTTGTGATGACAATTGCGCAAACGCTGAGACTGGCGCTTCTCCACGATAAAGCAGGTAAGTGGTCATCAGCCATCCAACGGTCAACTACTAAAGTGGTTCTATAGTCCTCCCCAATGAAGTAGTGCCCTGTGGCTGCCGCCAGCAGTTCGCTCGTCAGACACACCGAATGTGCCTCTTTACCGGTCTGTCTCCCATATCGGCATATTATGCCATGATTGCGTTGAACAAGGATCGAGCTTTTTATGGGGTGCCGTCTGATCGACTATCGCTGTGGTCGTATGAGAGTGTGGGGGGTCTTTCCCAGTAGACTATTCGGAAAGCAGCTTCGCTCTTCGCTCTGCAACATATGACGATCTGACAGGAAGGTACTGGGTGACCCCTGTTACCAGCAGATAAGCGGTATGATCATTGATGTGGAACCTAGCACATTCTATGCTAACATTGCATGTATAGAGGCCTGTAATATCCCTGGTCATTTCTTCTAATGTCTAGTCTCCCTGATACTCTATCCGCCTAACAGTGGCCCATATCCAGGTAGCCTTGCGTTCATGTTCGGTTCATAAGCTACAACCGGCCAAATTCATGGTACCGGCCAGACGAGCTGATCGACACTGCGCCCTGTGCTAGGTGCTCGTCTGTGGCGCGATGACACTGACTGCACCAGTTAACGATCTACCCCTTTCTGCTGAGGGCTATCCGTGGTATCCGTACGTCCCGTCACTCAAGCTACGTGTATCTCCGAGTCTTCACGTGCCAGGTTAGGATTTACTCTCGTTCTCGGTGAGCAGAGCAGGACATCTGGAGCCTCGTCGCTTCGGCTACATCGAGTGAGCTCTCATAGGAGAACAGGTCCGACATCATGCTTCAGCCATCTTCCACGCAGCTCGGATGAGCTAACCCCCAGCACTGTTTACGTCGCAGGATCACTCTCGCCCACCTGCCTTTCATTGTCTCCTAAACAAAACAGACAAGAGACAGCCGATGTCTCGTCGCTGGGAGACTGCAGTTCTTTTGCATGGCAGAGAGCCAGACACCATCTCATTCGTATAGGATCGTTGTAAAGACGTCGAACTCAGGGCCTACCTGACCGAGCACACTTTTACAAACCCAGGGGTTATCGTCCGTGAGGGAGGATGTTGGTAATGTAGACCTTAAGCTGCGAAGATTCTGTCATCACGGCTCCCAATTGCAGGGGTCTCGTAATTTCACAGCTCATCCTATGGGCGGCTGCTACATCAGAGCGTGGGGCCAGGTCCTGATTCCTGGGATGAAAATCTGGCTGTTTTCAGGTCAACTCGGCTACGTCTCTACATAACCCATCTCTTGTGCAGATGACCTGTAATAATCGCTGGTTCTTCTTGGGTGTTGAAATATTTAAACCAACGTTGAATTGTTTAAACGGGTGTTGAAACAGCGTTGAAGAGAATCAACCGACCTGGTCACACCTCGGTTGCACCCGTGGTTCGTCCGTTTCGCCAAGATGCGCCCACCCTTTATCGAATTTTCCCTTTTACAAACATTCATTGTCGGCTTACACACACACACAATTCATTAACGCCCGGCGGCTGAGCCGAAAGGGCAACTAAAACTGATCTATCGATACACGTCCTAATATACATCTGCCGTGTCTCCTTCGAGCCCATACATGGATCCTTGCAGTATATGTCCTCTCAGCTGTCAATATCAAAGGAATCCTTGTGGGTTAGTAAGTTGGTTAGTAGACTGGCTTGAAGGCGCTTCTTTAAGTGTTCAACATCCTATCTTCGGCAGTTGAAGCGCGTCCACCTTTGTGGCACAAGGAGGTTGGTGTAGGTTGGTGTAGGTTGGTGAAGAGGGGGAAGGGTGTCATTGTGTTGGTTGACGTGGTTAGGTGGCGTCGAGTCGGCCCGTGGCGATCGCGAATCGTATTGAGGCTCGCACCGCTTCTAAGTTCGGCATCTATCGCTGATTGTCCGAGGGCGATTTCCCGCCCAGGAAGAAGGAGAGATTGCCCCGGTGAGTTTGACTAGTCTGTAGCAATGCTATTCGTTGTGTGGTCCACTTCCGACATCGAAAGAGGAAGTGTTCCACGGTCTCTCTTGCTTGTCCACATGCACACTGATCCGTGTCTGCAACGTTGATCCGACAGAGATAGCTATTGAGTCTGGCTATGCCAGTCCGGAGTTGGGCTAGTACGCTCGCTTCTTTCCACGATAATCGATCATACAGCTGTCGAGTGTGTTTCCCTGGCAGTGCTGCATCGACTCGTTTCACGTGTCTTCCTACGTTCTCCGGCAAGTCATTGTTGGGAGCTGCTTGAGACCGAGCGATCTTCAGTGTTGTTGATTTCATCCTAGGGGCAGATTTTTGCAGGGCGGTATCCTTCTGGGTCGCGGTCCTGGCTTGCTCTTTGGCTAGACCTAGCAGTTTATTGTCCGCGCTGGTAGGGACCTAGAGGATGTTGATGTGGTTTCCGTTTCTCCGTAGCCTCTTCATCAACTTATACGATTGGCAGACGAACTCCTGGCCCGACTGTTGCCGAGGATTCCTTATCGTGAGGGCCGCTGCTTTGTTACTCGTGAGCAGCGTGATCCTGTAGTCTTTCAGTCCCACTAGTATGTTTAATGTGTGTGCTAGTGCTGCTAGCTCCGCGGAGAATGGGTTTTGCTCTAATCTTGGACCTAGTGTCGTGGAGGAGGTCTTTAGTTTCAGCTTTCGATATCGAGGTGGCTGTTTCTTGATCGCTACCCTAAAACCTACGAGGCCGTTTCGTGCTGAACTGCTGACCGCAACTTGCAATAATCCGCCCGGTACGGTGTGCGAGTGCGGCCTTGCTTCAACATCGCTCTGTATACGAGTCTCCCACGGTGCTAACACGAACGGATTGATGGTTTCTAGAGTTTCTATCTCAATTGTTTTTAGCGTATCCGCTACCTGGTACAGCAGCGAACGGTGGTATCTCCTGAACTTCTTTATGCAGGCTGTACTCTGCGTAGCGGGTGGGTCTCTAGAAGGGTGTGAATGTCCGTCCATATTTTCACGGCCCTTCTCCAAAAACGGTGTTGTGCGGTGGCAATATAAGCCTCTGCCTCCGCTACGCTGGTCGCAACCGTGAGAAATGTCCCGACAATTGCTTGCGCTCCTACCCTTTGGACTCGATTGATCGGTCCGCTAGCCTTATCCTTACAGGCGTGTATCCAGACACTAGAAGCATAGTCTACTACTGGAGCTACTGTCGATGTAAACAGCTGTCGTGCGGTTGCTGGCGTTAGGCCGCGAAGTCGCCGAAGCTCTATCGCTGCCTCCAGGCCTTTAGATGCCGCCCTCGCGATATGTTCCTTATACTTTAGTCTTGTGTCTATAAGAACGCCCAGGATTTTGATATAGTCTCTAGGCATAACGGTCTGTCCCTTGATAGTAAAAGGCTCCTGGTCTGTTTTGTGGACTTTAGGAGCGAAGTGTATAATAGCAGTTTTGTCGGCCTTAAAAGTCGCTCCGCTCCTTTTCTCCCAGTCAAGCGCTTCCGCGATAATTGCTTCAATACCTTCCTGATTGCTCTGCGCCGTTGGTCCGGTCACCCACGCGGTAAAATCGTCCACGAACGTAATTGCCCCTCCTTAGCTGTCGATCTGTCGTTGAACAAGGTCTGCGTTGAAGAAGAGGAATAGGATTGGAGACAGCGGCGAGCCCTGTGGTAGTCTAGCCTGGGGCAGGCTTTGGACCTCAGACAATTGCCCATTGATTTAAATTGTCGCCGTTCTTTCCGAGCAGAACGCCTCAACCCACCGGAGCAGGTTCTCCGGTATACCTCGCGCTTTTATCCTTTAAAGTAATCGTTCTTTGCACACTCTATTGTAGGCTCCTTTGACATCGAAGCTGATCAAGCTCAAAACCCGTCGGCCGCGCCACGCCGTGTAGATTTGCTCTTGCAGAAACACAAGTGCTTGCTCCGCAGACCGCTGTTTTCGAGCTCCGAAGTGGCTGGTCGGGAGCAAGCCGTACGTCTCCACCGCGTGTGAGATCCTTTCTGCAACCACTGACTCCAATATCTTGCCCAGCGTCGCGAGGAGCGAAATTGGTCTCTATGCTTTGGCAATGTTGTAGTTCTCTTTATTCGGCTTTTTGAGCGGTATGATCTTCGCGTGCCTCCACTGCCTTGGCAACGTGCCTTCTTCCAGCGAGGCTTGGAACAGATCAAGAACCCGGTCCTTGACCGCGGGCCACGTCATCTTCCAGACAATCACCGGCAGGCCGTCTTCGCCCGGCGCTTTCCAAGACTTCGCCGCTAACAGTTGCCGCTCTACTTCTTCCATCGTGATCGCTGGCATTTCTACCGGTGCTCTTTCTGGTCTCGTCCCTTCATCGTCAATAAAGTCCGGCAGAGGCGGGAAGAATGTGGTCAGCAATTCTTCTGCTTGCTCCTTGTGATCGGTGGTGGTCGTTCCGTTTGCTCTCTGGAGCTGCGGGACCTTTCCAAACGCTGCGTCGTCTCCTGACTTTAGGTATTTGGCGGCTTTCCATATGTTGTCGTTGTCTGCAAGGAATTCATTCCAGTGCTTTTTCTTTTGTTGCCGGATGGCATCGTGGTATTGCTTCGCTGCGCCTTGGGCCATCTCTTCTAGACGGGGGGCCTTTCGTCCCGCCCGTCGCTCCGAGCGGGCGTGATTTCTCCAATATGTGTATATTTGACGGAGCTGTGTCAAGTCATCTGTCCACCATCGCTTTGCATGTGGTGACGGCTTAGCCTTCGGCGTCAATGCATGCACCGCTTCCCAGACCGCGGACATGAGTCGATCGGTTTTCTGCTGCACGGTGCCCTCCAACGGAGTGGCAGCTATGGTGTTCGCAATCCTAACATTGATTTCTTTCCATGGGGCATTTTTCAGCAGGAGTCGTTCCGGATGCGTTGGCGGCGTCCATGGGGCATCGAATACGGTCTCAATAGTGCAGTGATCCGACCCATGCTCCGTCTTAAGTATGGCACACTTAACCATGGAGTCTGTTAGGTTCCCGGAGGCCAGGATTGTCGGCTTACAGTGGGAGTCGAAAACAGATTCCCCAACGGACACATATGAATTACTTCCCGAACCGTATCATAACACAGCCTAACCTATTTTGGATTGGTCATAATTACAGTGTTTCTAAGAATAGCTATTTTATTTTTTCTGGAACGATTGTGTGACGTATAATACTGTATCTTACACGAAACCCCTTTACTGTGTATATACTGCCCCTCTATGGCCGTCAATCTTCCAGCCCTGGCATCCTTGTCCTCCCAATTATCACCATCTCAAGAATTGTTAAAAGGGGTCTGCACATGGCACCGGAACTACCCCCCTCAAAGCTACGCTTTATTCAAGATATAATACAAAGCCAGTCGCTAACCACGTCTCAAGTGGCAGACGCAGCAGAGTCCTGTGAACGTACGATCAAGCACATCCGCAAAATATTGTCTTCGTACAGTAAGAAGAGTCCTCTACTTCGACGGAGGAATATACACTATTCAAGGACACTCATCGGAATACAGACTTTCAGGAAATTGGTATCATTTTCAGTTCTTTTGTAGATCCTTTTCATGTTTCATCTGCGCTCGCCCTCGATCACTGGACTTAATTAAGGCCCGTGGACCTTGATTAATCTTGCCTCACCCGCTAGTGCTTACAAGATCACCATCGTGCTGCCTAAGGCGTTCCGCGTCCCACTTTCTTAGGGACGAGCGTAAGCTATATAACCGACCTGCCTCCCCACGTCTCACGTAAAATATCTTCCTAAGCACAAAGTTCACATTCATAACCCCAAATCCGATCACCAGAATGGTGTACACCCTTTATGAGGGCTTTGTTCTCCAGACAAAGCGGGCTTTAACCGCGCTTTCCTATATTCTTCACAAAGCCGAGGAGGGGCCCAACGCTTCCTGTCTTCCGTCCTGTCGACTCCACAATGACATGAAATCACTTAGCTATCAAATATTCGCGGCAACAACGCAAACATTACTAGCTCTGGCTAAGCTGACAGACGAATCATTCCCAACGGAAGACACGAGTAAGGATGTTATCTACACATACGCGGAAATGTACGCTCGCATCGACAAGGTGCTCCAGGCCCTCGACACGGTTGACAAAGACTTCATCCTCGAACATTGTGAGGCCGTTAAGCCCACACCTCTGGGGGCTGATATACAACCACTGTCTGGGATTACCTACGCGTGCATTATGCAGGCTAACATCTTCTTTCATGTGGCTACTGCCTATGGCATCTTGCGCAAGGAAGGTGTGCCTCTTGGCAAGGTGGATTATATTTTGCCTTTTGTAACTTCCTGAAGCTTAGCGTTAAGCAAAGGGTTTTACTTAAACAAAGTGCATAGGACCACCTGTACTCTTCCTACGCATTTGGAGAGTATGTGTATTGCTGTTCATCCTCCGAATGACATCAGAGCGCGCAGCCTCGGGGGCCTGGTTGACCTTGTCGCACATCGCAGGAGGGGCATAATGGTAGCGTGTATATACGAGTTTCATATTAAATACAGATATCGAAGTCTCTCAATTGTATTGGAAACTACGAATTCAATTTAGGAAGCGGTCGATGTACTACAGTGGGATCGGGTAGTATAAGGGCTATGGGAGTATCCAGGTGTTAGGGCTTATTGTGAATCCTGTTCTCATAGTTCGAGCTCTTGGGGCTGAGAGATATAGTTAGGGGTCGGCACGAATACAAATCCGTAGGATTTTGAGATATTCGCATTCGCATTCGTAATGTAAAATTTCTGCGAATGCGAATATATTCGTTATACGTGCCGACCCCTAGATATAGTTAGCGTAATACGGGCTGTCGCTCATTTTACACACTATCGAAGCACCTCAATATTCATCCTTCTTGATAGGGTCCGACATACGCTAGCCCTGATATAGAGAAACCAGTACCAGTCCGCATCCCAAACCGCTTACTTAGATAGTAACGTATCTTACAGTACGATCCTCAACGTCAGGCTATGTATTTTACGTGAAACTTCTATTGTGACAGCAAGCTGATATAGTATGGCATTATATGCAAGAATGGGGCTAATCTACCAAAGGGAACCAATCCAACGAACAGGATGAATTGAATTAGTTAAAGAAGAGAAAAAGAGCGGATGGTGCGAGGACCTGTTAAGAGTGTCCTTGCTTACATGAGTTAGGTAAGGCTCATGAAAAGCACGAAGGCCCGATGGCCCGAAACGAGACCCAGAAGTGGAAAATACTTCAGCAGAAAGTGGTATAGCCTGGTTTTAACTGCCGCCCTGCATAGGCAGATGCAGGTAACTTCAGGAACAAGTCAACTTATTGAAAGGATCCAAGAGTGGCGTCGAGTTATTCTTAAAATCAAGCAGGAACGAGGCAGCCACGTTCGTATCAGTACAGTTGATCTCATTGGCCGAGTTCCAAAATATCTTGTGGATCCATTCAGTTTTCTGCCCCCAGGCGTAGATTTCTTGCATGAACTTGGTGCTGTGGTCCCAGGGGATGGGATTCGGACATACTCCATCTTGACGCGGTGCAATCTCGGTAATCCACAAAGGCTTGTCGTTCCACCTTTTGTGGGAAGCGTTGATGTGAATTTTGGCTTCTTCGACGGTTTTGTTATAGACATGGACGTTGTATGCCGAAAAGGAGTCTTGGCAACTGCAGTTTCCAAAGAACTCAGGAAGCCAGTTGAGCTTGTCGAAGGCCGGCACGGGTGCAATGAATTTTGTATGGTTTCCGCGTTTGTGCAATAATGGTTTAATAAGATCGGCGGCTTCTTGAGGGTGCAATACGACTTTTCTCGGGTTCGAGCCATACAGATTGTCGGGCTCGTTGAATGTGAGCATGAAATCTGGCGGATTTGGGCCGTTAACCACGTCAATAGCCTGCTGAACAGACTTGTTGTCGTTGCCTAGCATTGGGATTTGCTTGTCCTCGAGTCCAAAATTGAACGTGAGCCAATTGGAAGCGGAATGGATCTTCTCCCATCGCTGTTTTGTATAGCCACCGTGACCGGTGTTGAAGACAACGTTCACAAGCCCATCTGAGCACTTCGCCGCTGCCCCTTGAATGGTCGATATCCCGAGTATCGACATGGACATCACGAGCGACATTGGAGAAGTCAAACGCATCTTGAATGATTTCTGTAATAGTACCTGATGGCGCGTTGTTCTTAGTTATCAGTAGTCAATGAATGATTCAAGTTGTCAAGAAAGTTTCTCGATGGACAAGACAGAATTTATAGATGATTCAATAGAAGCTCCGGCCACTTCAGGCCAGCAGAGTGAATCACCACCCTGGACATGACGTGGTAGCTCCTCAGTCTATCATTTCTCCTTCTAGAGCCCGTGTTAGCTGAGATGATCAAGATTTCCCATCACTAAGCCCATTACAGGACAGCAGTTGCTTCACCCGGGGTGCCTAAGGCCCACCATAATCCAAGCCACTGTAAGGCAACGACTCTTAGACCTATAAGCAGGGCGGGCTGAATACTCGAGCCAGCTAATGATATCGTAGAACTGCCGATCAGGCGTTCATCCCCTACAGTGCTTGTCTCTTTCCCGGCCAAGGGTTTGCCCCCTATCCCATCGCGACCGTCTGTGCTTCTCTTGTGGTCCCTTCAGGCATTCTACTATGACCAGGGAGTCGTTACGGGAGTCAGCCTTCGGAGCTATGACTGGCGAGCGACGACGAGGGCTGCACTGCATGACGGAAGAATGAGGAGAAAAAGGCAAAACGTGGTTGACGGGAGAGGAGAACTGATAGGCGATCTGGCCGGATTGCCAGATCTACAAGAACAATTCTGTTCCATGTAACAATAGAGTACTATAACGATTACGGTTCTGATGGAACATCAAGACGGTGAGCTGTAGCGATTTCGGAAGTTTTCCCCGAATCAAGTAATAAGAGCATGGCGGTATAGCTGGTTTTGAAAAACTACTATAGCTCTAGGCAGACGCCGGGAACGAATGGAAGAGGCAGCAGAGAGCAAGAACCACGAAAAACACAAACGAGAACCATATCAGCCTACCAGGGTTAGTCCTCTACAGCAACAGCAAGGGCTTCGTCATATCGGAGTTAGGCGAAGACAAAGGCTAGGAGTGAAAAAGGAGAAGAGGAAGGCTGGCGTGGGTCAAGCCAGCGCGAGACCTCCCCCACCCTTCAGAGAACCCGCCCAGAACATTCTGTAGAGATTTACAGAATTTTACAAGGACCGTGAAATCAAATACGTCGTAAGACGCGTACTGCCAAGCAGGGGTTCTTCCTGGCGTAACCCAATACGGTTTAGTATGGTTTCGGGTACAGGCCGACAAACAAAGTGTCTCTATCCACAGGGGGAATCTGTTTTCGACTCCCACTGTAACGCATAGGAAAGTTTATAAATAATCGCTCTTACCCATCTCATTCACTCAGTTTCATTCAGAATGGCAAATCGCATTACCAAGACCCCTACCTTTCAGCCAGGTCATCATACCGCCAAGCTAGCCAAAGCTCTCGAAGATGAAGCTAAAGCAAAAAAACGCGCCCGTCATGAAGATGCGGCTGAATGCCAACCTAAGTCGTCAGGGTCAATACAAATGGAGCCTGAAAGCCATAATGGCAGCAAAGCTATACACCAATCCGATCGAGAAACGGAACTGGTCGATTCTTCACCAGACAAACTGCACCAGTCTACAAGACATGCGAACCACCGGTTAGTAAAAAGGCGAACGTCCATGTATTTCTGTTCCTTAATTCTGATTAATCTTGCTCAGACCTTCGGAGCAAGTGAAGCAAGGTCCCTTCAAAGCTCTATCCAGAAGAGCGAGGCAGATGGAACGAGGCAAAAAGTGGGAAAGCAAGGCTTCTAAGCGGCTGCTCAAACGAGATCTGGCTAGTGAAATCGAAATTCTGAAGAGCGAGATGGAAGATCTTAAACAAATGGTCATCTCTCTCCAGGCCCTCCTGTCTGAGCGAGGCGGAGGGAAGCGAGCCGCTTTCCAAGATGAACTCAGATAGATAAGCCCTGTCGAGGATTTTGGTCGCAATGAAAAACTTCCCTTTCTTCTAAAATTTAACAGTGAGCATCTTCGCAAAGTATGCTCTCCGGTAAACGCATTCATCTAGTCATTGCCTAAATACTGAAAGTGAAAAATGACTGTCAGTGCATTGCTAATGTTTCTAGGGCAGTCTCCAGTAAAGGACGGGTGCAACTCATATGACTGAAGTTCTTGCTCCCCGTAACTTCTGACAATAGTTGCGATGTTATGACCCATCGAATGCACTTCTCCACGATAAACAACAATGCCTTGGAAATAACATTGGATCAGGAACAACGCAAGTATTCGAACAGCCAAGGTCTGGATTGACCGCGCTCCGCTATGAAGTAGGAGACTCGTAGGTGTTTTCGCCGAGTGCTTATTGCACCTAGAAACCGTGCGCATCCAGGGGAATGCAGGGGAGCTTTAGAAGAAACACACGAATGCCATACAGTATCCGAGTCCAATTGTTCAATTCTGCACCGACTGTCGCACTGTACTATTAACAACATACCGAATGTCAATAGAGACTGAATGCATCTAGGCCATTGAGGAGTGCTGTCCTGAATGAGATGATGCGGGCGTCGCGACAATTCTGGGAGGTACTGAATAGAAAAATGAATGAACAGCAGCTCTTTGGTCTAACAAGGCCCTTGGCATTAATTTTTTGATTCATCTACCTAATTGAAAATCCGGGGCAGCCATACTATTGGGAAACGCACGTGACCCAAATCTTTTGGAACTGCGGCAGTACTACTCTGCGGATCGCTCTTTGCAGATCGTCTTGAGTACCATGGATCGTATACCTAGAGAACTTTTCCAAATACTAAATGGATCTCACCGTTGAGTCGTGATGGTCAACTGTTTTGATACGTTAAACGTCAATGTTTAGAAAGTCCTTTCTTCGTAAATGGCTGCTTCAAAGCCATATCCGCGTCAGGGGCAACATCCTCTTGACGCATCTGCCACCAGACAATTCTCATTTTCGAAGTCGCCTCATTGTCGTCGGCTTTCTGTTGTCCCGGAGTCTCGTTATGTGAGGGACGGAAGACTTAGCATAGACTCATAAGATTTGAGAAGAGGGGGAAGCGTTGAACCCCAATTCGCCCGCAAATCCCTGTGTGGCCGTCCAGGCCGGCCATGTAACGACCTCGAGGATTCCCTCTCGCTAGGCATTTTTTAAACGCAATCTTCGTTGTTCAACGCTCGGTTGAACGCGCTTTTCAACGACCGTTGAAGGTGATTCACCGTAAACTTGAATATGAGATGCAACCGCCAAGAGATGGTTCCAAGGATGGCCCAGTCTAGATTCATGCACGCCACGGTTCGAAGTGGGGCACCTGGTGAGATTGTAAACGCATCCTTCAACGGCTGTTGAATCAACTCCACTAGCAGCAAAAATGCAATGTTTACACCTCAGTAAATCATGTCTTCCATAGATTTTGCATACCTGGCAGCTACGAGCATCCGTAGGCGAAAATGCATAAAAGGACGCCCCATGACCTGTCTAGAAAATCAGGACTTCCATCCTCATCCTCCGAGACAATCACGGTCTCGTCTGACTGCAGACTTGACTTATAATTAGTCTTGGCTTTCGCTGGCATGAGCCCATTGAAGTAAGAAATGCACTCTCTCGCAGGACAAGCTCTGCATTATCAAGTGAACTCCGCAGGGACATCTGCGATACCAAGAGACTCCGCAGTGACAACTGCGAAACCAAGAGACTCCGCAGGGACAGCTGCGAAACCAAGAGACTCCGCAGTGACAACTGCGAAACCAAGAGACTCCGCAGGGACAGCTGCGAAACCAAGAGACTCCGCAGTGACAACTGCGATACCAAGAGACTCCGCAGTGACAGCTGCGAAACCAAGAGACTCCGCAGTGACAACTGCGATACCAAGAGACTCCGCAGTGACAACTGCGATACCAAGAGACTCCGCAGGGACAGCTGCGAAACCAAGAGACTCCGCAGGGACAGCTGCGAAACCAAGAGACTCCGCAGTGACAACTGCGATACCAAGAGACTCCGCAGTGACAACTGCGATACCAAGAGACTCCGCAGGGGAAAAGCTGCGAAACCAAGGACTTCCGCAGGGGGGCGCTGCGTCACGAAGTGAACTCCGCAGATAGGAACTGTGATGACAAAATCCTCGCAGGGGGGGCGCTGCGTCACGAAGTGAACTCCGCAGTCTAGGATCTGTGATGACAAAATCCTCGCAGCTTGAGGTCTGCTTTACCAACATCCTCCCTCACAGACCATGAGCCCTGTGTTTGTAAAAGCGTGCTCGATCGGGTAGGACCTGGGGCCAGGGTCTACACCATGATCCTCTAGCGACATGCAGGCACCTCTCCGTGGTGCTAGGGACCAGTATTCAAGTGTTGCTGCGGCGCTTGAAGAAGCCAAGACCTGCACGACTCATCTCTGGGTCCATTATGTAGGCCGGACCATGTAGCCCGAACCATGGGAGAAATCGATACAGTAGCATTGCAATGAAGACAAATTCTCGATTCTGACTTGTCCTAATGTAGAGATAGATCTTGTAAGCTGTCACTAAGATCCCAACATAAGAATGGCACTATGTAGAAATCCGCAAACCACACGGGAAGAAAGAGCAAACATGCAGTGTTGTCTTAGCAAATAGAGACAATTGGATCACAGGCGACCCGTCAGTATTAGAAGCATTTGTTCACGGCGGTGTCTCCTTGTAATTCACGGATATTTAGATGCTTGTTGACGTGTGGACGGTATGGATGGTGTTGACGGTGTTGACGGTGTTGACGGTATGGATGGTGTTGACGGTGTTGACGGTGTTGATGATGAGGACGGTAGGACAGTGTTGACGGTGAGGACGGTGTTGACGGTGTTGATGGTGTTGACGGTGTTGACGGTGTTGATGGTGTTGACGGTGTTGATGGTGTTGACGGTGTTGACGGTGTTGATGGTGTTGACGGTGTGGACGGTGAGGATGGTGTTGACGGTGTTGATGGTGTTGATGGTGGTGAGGATGGTGAGGATGGTGTTGACGCTGCGTTGATAAGCAAAAGTGGTGAAACGTTGAAACTGTGAATCACTGGGCGGTGAACCAGGCTCATCAGCTCATCCCTGGCGCCGC